GAGGTGGCCAGCCTGAGCTTCCCATCACAGCGGGGCAAGGATAGTACCACGGAGACTAATCCTTTCCTCAGTAGGCGGCAGCCGGAGGGCCTGGGTGGCCTGAAGGGCGAGGGCAATGCAGGCAAGGAGTCAGGCGAGGCCGTGCCCCTGTGTGGGTCTGCGGACAAAGTTGCACTGCCTCATGGCAGCAGGGCAGGCAAGGGCCGTGACCGTGAGCTGGACTTCAAGGGTGGCCACAACCTCTTCATCTCTGCTGCAGCCGTGCCTCCTGGTGGCCTCCTCGGTGGCCCTGGTCTAGTGACTGTGGCTTCCTCTGCAGGCAGTACAACACCTGCTGCCCAGGCTGCCCGGCCCTTTCTGAGCACCTTCACCCCTGGGCCCCAGTTCACTCTGGGCCCCATGTCCCTGCAGGCCAACCTGGGCTCTGTGGCCGGCTCCTCTGTGCTGCAGTCCTTGTTTAGCACAGTGCCCGCCGCTGCAGGCTTGGTGCATGTGTCATCTGCTGCGCCCCGACTCACCAACTCGCACACCATGGGCAGCTTCTCCTCTGGGGTGACCGGTGGAACCGTTGGAGGTAGGCAAGGAAGGGATGACGTCTAGTCCCAAGTTTCTCACCAGCTGCTTGGGAGGTCCCTCCCAAGCCCTCTAGAGGATACAATGGGAGTGTGTCCCTGTGTCCTTGTTGGCCGTCTTCATGGTGTGACTGAAGGAGACTGTCTAGCCTTATAACGCATGCCTCTTGTTTTCAGAAGACCACGGTGCACTTAACTAGGCATTTCTTTCTCCTGGGGCATCCCCTGTTTGAGGTGACCACCCACATGCCTCATGGCCGGTCTGTGGAAGCGGGCCTGGTGCAAGAATGAGTCCAGAGGGCCTGCTCAGAGACAGGGCGGAGTGGAGCCTGGGCCACAGGCCAGGCATGGTGCAGTCCTGACTGGGCAGGGGCGGGCAGGTGGGCCCGAGGGGCAGGGCCTCATCCTGGCAGGTAAGTGTCCCTGCACTGAGCCCACTGCTTGCTGCTTGTGCCTGCGCTTGGACCGGAGTCACGCTGTCTTCTGCTTCTCCTTGCTGGCGACTGTGCTTCTCTTGCTCCACCCGCCTGGACCATGCTGCCTGTTGAAGCTGCTTTTTCTCTCCTGTTTACAGGTGTCTTTACCCATGCGGTGCCTTCTGCCTCTGCTCACCCGTTTGGAGCTGGTGTCAGTAGCGGGGCTGTGTGTAGCAGTGCCACGCTGGGCCTGAGCCCGCTGCAGGCGGCGGCCAGCACCTCGGCTTCTTCCTTTCAGGCTGCGGCTTCGGTCGAGAGTCGGCCGCCCCCTCCACCTCCCCTACTTCCTCCTCAGCACCTGGGCCGGCCCCCTGTGGGGCCACCTGTCCTCCATGCACCCCCTCCTCCTAACGTCACCTTGCCTCCTCCACCTGCGCTGCTGGCTTCTAACTCCGAGCCAGTGCTTCTGCAGAGCCTGGCCTCCCTCCCGGCTAACAAAGCTTTCTTACCCCCCTCCTCTGCCGCTTCTCTGCAGCCTGCTAACGCCTCTCTGTCTGTCAAGCTCGCCTCCCTTCCACACAAGGTCTCCCGCCCCTCCTTCACGGTGCACCACCAGCCCCTGCCCCGGCTGGCCCTGGCGCAGGCTGCGCCCGCCGCCCCACAGGCCAACTCCTCGGGGCCATCTGCTGTGTGGGTTTCCCTTGGCATGCCGCCTCCTTATGCTGCGCACCTTTCGGGGGTTAAGCCTCGATAAAGACCTTGCTTAGCTAGCAGTTCATGTTCTGTAAGGTAAGGCTAGAGCCAAACCACCCCTCCTCTTGCCCAGAAGACGGCTGGCAGGGCTCGCCAGATGCCTGGGGTCCTGAGTCGTGGAGATGGGGGGGGGCTGGCTAAGGGAGGCAGGGCCGACAATGTGCACCACTACCTGGTCCTCAGCCAGCCGCTGAGAAGACAGCCGAGGTGATGAGATTCGAATGTGGCTTACCAAAGCCAAGGTAGCCCCAACCTCCTGTGAGATTCCTGGCCCAAAGCAGTCCTTGATTTTGGGGTCACATTTTTAGCTCTAAACTAAGGCATTTGTCACCAGCCTGCCTGTGCATGGGAAACAAGGGGTAGTCAGTACACCAGTGAGGTTGCAGACTTACTTTGTCCACAGGCAGAAAGCTGCCTGGGGTGGTAGCGTGGGCATCCTTGAGCAGAGGTGGGGTTTATTTAAGGTTCAGGGAGCCAGTCCCTGTCCACCTCTCCCTGAACAGCGGCTGTCAAACCCTGCTCTGCTATCATCATGGCAGTAGACATGCCCTGTGGGCAAAGAGGCATATGGCAGCCTTCTGGCCTTCTCCATAGGGTGTGGGCATGTGGTAGCCCTAGCCTGAGTACAGGACAGCCTGACAACCACATCTGGAGGTCCTAGGGCTAGAGCTCTCCAGCTAACTCACCCTGTGTGCTCAGCAAGGCAGAGCTGGAGGGTGCTGGGCCCAACAGTACCTACCAGGAACACCCCCTCTGCCCTGTGTCCTGTGGGGCAGCTCGGCCATAGAGGACATGTTGAATGCACCTAACCCATGATCCTCCTCCCTGCAGGTAATTAGGACTTCTACCTCAGCCACGACCTATGCAAGGACGGTGTGGACCAAGCCTGCTGCCTGCCAGGCCGGCGGAGCCGGACGTGGAGCCACTGTGAATTGGCGGCACCGCAGGAGGTGCTGGACTGGTCCAGTTTGTACTGTCGATAGTTTTAGATAAAGTATTTATCTTTTTTTTTTTTTTTTAAAGTATAAGCAATTTTGACTTATTCCATCAAAGTCGTCCAAGGCAACCTCTTGAGACGCCTAAGTGTCTGTGAGAGAGAATCATATAAAGACTTGGCCTGCCGGGCTGGCCACCAGGAGGACTCTAGACTCCGTCCCGGTGCTATCTCACCACCGAGCCCATGCCCACCCATCTCTAACTTCGTCCCGGGTGCTGCCCCAAATGCGGACCATGGCCAAACAGTTCTCAGAAGCATCCTTACTGCTTGTTCTGATACCAAAGGCACGCCAGGCATGCACGATGGGGGCTGACTTCTGGTTCCCCTCCTTGGAACTCGCCCTCTGTCACTGTGAACACCCTGCTGTTAACCCTGTGACTTTAGGCGTGCCTTTGCTGTGGGTGCAGATTGGGCTGGGGCAGGATTGGGTGCCTGGCTGGGCTGAGTGGTGCTGACAGGTGTGGGCCACTACTGCAATGCTCAGTGGCTCCTGTGACAAGTGCATTTACTTTGTATTTCTTTGCTTTTCTGGCTCGGGGCATGCTGGCCAGGTGACATGGGGCTGGCCCACTGTGGGTCCCCTGGCATCTGTGTATAAGAGAGTCACATGATGAGTGACAGTATTTTATAGAGATGTGATGGAGATTTATAAATTTCATAGACTTGACTGCATTTATTTTTAGATTGTATAATGCACAGTGAACTTTAACGGAAAGAAAAGTGAGGAGGAAAAATACATTTATTTATTCAAATGCACAAAAAAATGGCGCTGGTCAGGGCCCTGCAGGAGTGTGGCCCAGATGTGCTGGGCCACCCAGGGCCTCTGGTCACTGTGGGCACCACCTACCTATGTCCAAAAGTTGCTTCCTGGTCCTGGGGACAGGTGCACTGGGTGTGGCTGCAAAGGGGCCAGGGCTGATTTAGCTTGCTGAGGCGGTCCTGACTGCCCTCAATGCTGCTCACTTCAGGTTAGGGGTAGGTAGGCTAAGCAGGGAGGCCATGTTGACCTGCTTCCCTTGGCAGTTGTGAAGATGGTGCTGGTGTCCCTTCCACCCCCCACCCTACCCCCTGCGATGGTGCTCATGCTCGCCAGGCCTGTTCTTGCACACCACAGCTAGCTACGGTGCTGCAGGGCAGGGTGGCCATAAAGTTAGCAAGTCCCAGGCCTGGAACAAGACACTGAGTGAACACTGTATACACCACCTGCCACCTTGGCAGCTGCTGCTCCAGTGGTCACTGCCCCACCTTACTTGAGTGTTAGGGGACAGACACTGCATGTTCATGGCCCGCATGGCCCAGTGGGCCACAGGTGCTCCAGGCGGGCACAGTTGCAAGTCCTCTCCTGAGCCCACGAGAAAGGGGAACCCACAGTAAACGGAACATGGTGCACCGTGGCCCTGGGTTCCTTAGCTGATGGTCTTAGCATGGGGCTAGGCTGCCTCAGTGGTCCCTGGTATTCCAGCCCAAGGGTGCTGCAGGGCTTGAGCTCAGGAACTGATAGAAAGCCCTACGGACTGGGACCTACTCCCACACTAGCCCACAAAGGGACTCTGCCAGACACACCTAGGTTCCCACCCTCAACTTACACAGCTTTTTTGGCAGCCTGGCCTGTTTGTAACTTGATGCAGCTTTGCTCTGTCTTGTAATGACCTCTGTACTTAACGGGTGCACTGTTCTCTCCCTTGGTTCCCAAGGCATCTCACACATTGTTGCCGCCTCTAGACACAGTAATAAAAAGCTGTTTTCACTTGAGCCGGTTCTCAGTGTGTTCTGTCTTTGTGTGGTTACTGTCACCTCCCTTGAGGGACGATGACAGCTCTGGAGGAGCCCGAGGAAAACGCAGCCAGTGAGTCAAGGCACCCCTATAGCGTTCAAGTTGCTTACAGCCAGGTGGTATGGGTCCCTTACGCAGGACTCACTAATATGTGCCCCCACAAAACCCAGGCAGGATTCCACATCTTCCCAGAGGGTAACCAGCCTGGTACCAGGCACACTGGGAGCAACCCATCCCACAAGCTGTGTGTGTGTGTGTGTGTGCCTGCATGCATGAGTGTTTATGTGTCCCTAGCCCAGTCTTTTTCATTTTGTTTTTCAAAACAGTTTCACTCTAATCCAGGCTGACCTGGAACTCAGAGATCTGCTGTCTCTGCCTTCTGAGTGCCGGGACTGAAGGTGTGTGCCACCACTGCCCAGCCCGGCCTAGCTCTTAGAAGAGCTGTTCTGCCACCTGTGTCCCCATCTCTCCCCATTTACTTCACTGTGTGGCTTGGAAAAGGGGTACACCTTTATTATAGAGCGGGCTTAGCACTGAAGGCCAGCACCATGGCCTGCTCTATCAGCAGGAGTGGGGTTCACAGCTTTACCTAGCATGATACATTCACCCAATAACGGACAGGGGAGCTGTGCCAGGCTCAGTCCCCAGTTGGGGGCACTCAAGGGTATTGGCAGGGAGATGGCATGGGAACAAGGATCCAAGCCCTTGCCCACCTCCTCCAGACCTCTGGCTTTAAACGACATTTCCAAAAAACGTCTTCAAAGATAGCCAGAGGCCATGCAAAGGTCAGTCCAACACATCTAGCTGGGAACCAATACAAGCAGTCCGCCCGTGCGTAGGCAGGCTATTCAGCTGGAACCTGGCCTCCTCGGAGATGCCGAACTGCTCCAAAGGATCCTGTGGGGGTGCATGCTGGCTGTGAACAAGGCCAGGGAGGGCTGCACCATCCCACCCCACCCCACCCCACCCCTACACACCTTGCCTGTCATCTTCCTGATTTCGTTCCTGTAGAAGATGAGGCTTCGTCGCATGTACTCATAGCTGGAGAAAAGGGCTGGGTTCACTGATCACACTCCCCCATGTTTCCACCCAGCTCCCAGTGGTTCCCAAAGCCCCACCTGGCCCGGCGAAGAGCCTCCATCCACTCCTGACACTGCTCTTGGCTACAGCATTCAAAGTGATACTTCCTGCTGAGGTCTTCCACAAAGCCTAGAAAGGGGTAAAGGAAGGGAGCCAGCCACCTCTGCTGGGTGTCTACCTGGCCCACATCCTGCTGGCCAGAAGACCCGGGTTCCTGTCCTACCAAGCCATCCTCTTGGCCTGTCACAGGCTGGCTTGGCTCCTCCAGAGTGCTGACTCCTGAACCCATGAAAAGGGACCCACTGGGAACATATGAACTGGTTGACGTGAGGTCATTAGAGTAGGCCCTAATGGTAATAGGACTGGGGCGATGGCTCAGTAGGTAAAGTGCTGATTACTCAGTAGGTAATAAGCAGGAGGACCTGAGTGGAATCTCAGTGCTGAGGAAACAGACGGGGAGATTCCTAAGGCTTGCTGCCAGCCAGTATAGCCTAAAAACCAAGTCCATGTGCAAGGATGAGAGAGCCAAGCAGGTAGCGGTGCTGTTGCCGTGCCTGATGGCCAGAGTTCAACAGCGGGGACCACATAGTGGGAGAGGAGAACCAAAGTTGTCCTCTGACCTTTGTAGACAAATACACGTATGTGTACATACAAATGTATTGTTTTAAGAGGGGGTGGTGAAGAGACCAGAAATTGACTTCTGGACTCCATATATACACGTGCAAAAAAGAAAGAGTAGATGGAGAACCCCGTGTGATGATGGGGAAGACATAAGGGCCAAATCTCTACAAGACGGTACCGTAAAGATCGCCAAGGAAGAAGGTTTAACAGGTGTCACTTCAGCCTCAGAAGCGCTACCCGCGGCAGACTGTTTCTAATACAAACAAAATCTGCACAGGCTGCACCTATCCTTGCGAAGAATAGGCACTGAAGGTGGGGGAAGAAACTATGATTGCACCAGCGGAGACCAGACCCGGGGGCACTCAGTATCAGCTATTGCAGCGCTGGGTCCTCAGGAGACGAGGGATCCATGACAAATGGAGGCTCCTGGGGAGTAAAAGGGAGACAGGTGCGCGGAGCAAGAGTCCGGGGTGGGGACAGTGGGGACCAGCGCACTTACTGATGGAGAAGCCGCCGGGCTCTTCCTGGGCCACTATGCAGCGTTCCAGCAACAGGGCTCCGAGGGGCTGCGCGAGACACGGCCATGAGCGCCGGCCTCCGGGCCGCGCGGGCCCCCCCGAGTTCCCCACACCCCTACCTCGGCCTCGTCCGGGCGGAAGTAGAAGAGGAAGTTGACCACCAGCTTCACCAGCCGCCTCTTGGCCACTGTGGGCACAGGGCGTTGTCAGTGCGGAACTGTTCTCATCCACCCACCCGGGAATCGAGCCGGCCCGCCCCGAACCGCTCACCGCTGCCTTTTTTGGGACCCCGCATGCCTAGCTCGGCGGCCATCTCTGCCGGCTGACGGGACAGCGCCTGCAACTCTTTCTCATTGTACCGCATCACACCGCCGGGATCCGCGCGAACTAAAACGCGCGCTGACTCCCGGCCGCCGTCCTTTCCGAAGCGGCAACCAGCGCCACAAACGTCTCAGGGAACGTTCCCGGAAGTCCCATCAAAGCTACTGCGCCTGCGCGTCGTGGAGCTTATCGCGTAGTTTACATAAGGTGGCACTGGCGTGCGGGTCGGCGCAGTTGCACGCAGAGCCGGAAGTGAGAGAAATTCCCCGTCCGTAGGTAACCGTCAGACACACTAAACGTGAAGTGTTACGTTAGATTCATAGCACCCCACGTTAAGCGAAGCCCCTTCCCGGGCTGGTGAAACAGATTCCGTCTTGTCGCGATAGGTGGCGTCACGAGATTTAGAGCGGAACGAGAGTTCGTGGACATCTCAGTGAGCGTGCGCACTATAGATTCCTTGTCCTCGCGCCTCCTCTAGAACACGAGTCCGTCTTTCGGGCCTGCGCGCACAGGAAACTCCGCCTCATTTGCTCCCGGAAGTGGTCGCTTAGTCCGTCGTGCGCGTGCGCACAGCCAAATCGCGGCCGTCGGGGAGGTTAAGCCCGGGAATCGCGGCCTTGGGCGCCGGTGAGGAGCGGCGCGGCTTGTCGGTGGCGGCTTCCCAGACCGCGGGGACCCTGGAAGGGGGTTGGAAGTGGGGGTGGGGGCGAGGGTGGGCGGCGCGTTCTTCTTCCTCGGGCCTGGCGCGCGCCCGGAGAGCGCGCTCTCGCCAGGCCCGTTGGGCCGTAGCGGCGTCGCGGATTCCCGCCGCGCGTCTATGGCCCCTGGCGTGGTTCGGGGTCTTGGAGATTCTTTTGACTTCCTTGGTTGCCTCAGTTTCCCTCATCGTTAGTTAGGGCCCTGGCGACTGCTGCTCCTGTCCACCTGAATAGGTCCGTGGGTGCGATTAAAAGATAACGGTATTTCCTCCCAAAGTGGACCAGAGCAGCACCTTCTCAAATACCGCTTTTCTTCCCTTGTCGATCGTTTATCGATAATCTTATGGTGGTCCATGAGGTCGCACGTCTCCAGTCATTGGCAAAACTTTTAATTTATTTCAGGCGGTTTTCACTGCACAATTCAGGCCCTCCTGGAACTTTAGTGTGAACCAGGCTGGCCTCGAACTCACACACATCGTGGTGCCGCTGCCTCCCCAGTACTGGGATGAACAGCGTGTGTCTCCACACCTGGGTGTCTAATTTGGGTTTATTACTGCTCACGGTGTGAGGGTACAGTCCGCTTTGGTGGGGAAGTGTTGTCCCAGGAGCTTGGGGCAGGAAGCAGAATGGTAAATGCCAGTGTTCACATTGCTTTCCTCAGACTGTCTTTTATGTGTTTGTATGTGTGTGGGCATGTTGAGTGTGGTACCCATTGAGTCCAGAAGAGGGTGCCAGGTGCCCTGGAGCTGGTTGTCAGCTGCCCAGTTTGGGTGCTAGAAACGGAACTTGGGTCTTTTGCAAGGGCACAAATGGTTTTCACTACTGAGCCAACTCCCCAGCCTACCCAGCGCCCTTTTATCTCTTATTTAAGACAGGTTCTCACTGCATAGCCCAGTCTGGCCTCCAACTCAAACAAGAGCTGACTTGAAAGTGGGCACCGCCATGCCCCACAATTAAGTGCTTGTGTTTTGGGAGGTTGAAAGTTCATCATGGCCTGAGAGGGTAGCTCAGTTGTGAGATTTTGCGGGATTCTGTGCTCCTCCAGAACCAAGGAATGTGCTCACCCAGGCTGGTTTTGTCCTTTTTTCCCCCCACCCTCCAAAACTGATGGATTTTTTCCCTCAGTGGATACTCAGGCAGGCACCTCAGGCACACACCCTAGAGGCTTTATGGATACTAAACAAGCACTCTGCCCCTGAATTGCACCCTCAAGCCTGTGGCTGGACACCATGTCCCCTTGGAAGAGTGATCAGAGTCTCATGTTCTTGGGAGTCCTCTTTACCAGAGGTCAAAGGAGTTTTCCCTCCTGTCACTGCCCTGGGTGCCTTCTTTTTCTGGGGAGCAGACTCTGCTACCCTTGTACTCTGTTCTTGCATCTGGCCAACTCCATCTGATTTGGGAATATGTCTCCTGGTAGCTTTGGAAGATGTGGACAGTGCTTCTCTTTTTCAGTCCTTGGGTGGCTGAGTGTGGAACAGACCAACATGTCCAGCTCACAGCTTGAGTGCACATCCTCTCATCTTCCCAACATCCAGAAGCCTCTGCGTCCCATCCTCCTTCAGAACTGACAACCAGTGACCTTGGAGTGTCTCTGCCTTGAGCTCTCCTACCTACCTCCTAGGCAGACTCCAAGGTGACATTTTAGATAATTGGGATGCCTGACTCTCAAAGAGTCTTTTTTTTTTTTTAATATTTATTTATTTATGTATACAATATTCTGTCTGTGTGTATGCCTGAAGGCCAGAAGAGGGCGCCAGGCCTCTTTACAGATGGTTGTGAGCCACCATGTGGTTGCTGGGAATTGAACTCAGGACCTTTGGAAGAGCAGGCAATGCTCTTAACCACTGAGCCATCTCTCCAGCCCTCTCAAAGAGTCTTGATCACGTTTAAAAGGTCCCTTTTGCTGTATGAGGCTCCAGCAATGATGACAAGAGCTGCCCTCCACTTCTCTCCTGGGCACTGTGAGTTCACTCTGAGTTATAACCAGAGTCCTGCAGCAGACAGTCTGAAGTGTTCCACCATCAGAAAACATGGCCTGGTGGCTTTGAGCCTGGCACAGAGCTTTCTGCAGCACTGTGGACAGCTCAGAGCTCGGGAAACCGGGAAAAGCTCCTTATGCCTGTATGTCAGATGGGGGGGGGGGGCTTTATTCCCAGCATTTGGGAGGCAGAGGCAGGTGAATCTCTGTTTGAGACCAGCCTGGTCTATGTGGAGAGTCCCAGGACAGCCAGGGCTATGAAGAGAGATCCCATCTTAATAAGTTATAGTAGGCAAAGGTGGCTCATACCTGCAGTTACCTGGGAAGATCAAGAGTTTAAACACAAGCAGCACCCCCCTCCCCCGGGAGTTCAAGGCCAAGCCAGGTTATGTAAGACTCTGCCTGTTCCCCCACCCCCCCTCGTAACACCAAAGAATCAGTTTGATGTAATGGCACACCCCTATAATTCCAGTGCTTGGGGGACCAGGAGTTGAAAAGATAGCCTCGGGTACGGACAGCCTGGGCTACATGAGATTTGAAGAAATGATAATAGGGTCTTGGGCTTGCTTAGCAAAAACTGGCAGTTTCTGTACTTGGTTCACATTGGCCCTAGGGATTAGATAGAGTCTGTGACATACAGGTGACGGGTTGCCTGCCTGCTGCGTGCGTGTCTGGCCACCCCACGGCCCTAGCAGTACCAACAGTGTTCTGATCCTTCTTTTTCCCAGGTTTCTCTTGTCTCTTGAAGCTCCCAGGCCTGCACCATGGACTTCCAGCACAGACCTGGAGGCAAGACTGGGAGTGGGGGCGTGGCCTCCTCCTCTGAGAGCAACCGGGACCGCAGGGAGCGCCTGCGGCAGCTGGCCCTTGAAACCATCGACATCAACAAGGTTTGGGAGCAGTGTCCCCGTGTACACAGAGCCCCCTACAACGCCTCCGTCTTGGGTTCAGAGAACCAGGCTTTGTGGTCTAACAGGTACTTGTGTTCCCTCCCAGGACCCATATTTTATGAAAAACCATCTGGGATCCTATGAATGCAAACTCTGCCTGACGCTGCATAACAATGAGGTACGTGCTTCCACCTGACCCTCGTCCCCCGCTGGGCACACACATGGCCTTTACACTAATGGGGTGACATTGGTGGACCTTGGACCTATCACCCAGAGCCGAGGGCTCCCTCAGTATTGGTCTGGTTTGGTTGAATTCTTTTATTTTTTTCTCAGCTGTGCTGGGTAAGCAGCCACTGAGCTGAACTGTGTGCCCGTCCAGCTCTGTGAGCTCTGCCTCTGGCTCTACACTGAAGGTGGTCTGGGGACCAGCTGCCCTTTTACCCTTTCTCTTTCTCTGACCTTGGTGTCAGGACAGCAGTCAGCGTATCTGATCTTTGAATGTTCCCGGCAACAGGGCTGCTTCTGCATTTTAGGGAATCAGGAAGGAGGTGAGGACTGGAGTCCATTGGTAGTCCAGGACTAGATGAGCAGAGCAGTCAGCAGTGGCCGTGTTGACGATGGAGTCAGCTGCCACAGCTGTGCAGGATGCCAAGCAGTAGCTTAAGCTCCACCACCCCCTCAGGAGCTCCCTGAGCACTTGCCAGACCCCTGTAGTGGGGTCAGCACTGAAGACTTTGGTGTGTGTGCTGGTCCTAACCACAGAGAGATTCCCAGGGTGGCATGGCGTGTCACTGCTCCCCAGTGCAGCCACAGCCACTGCATCCCCATAGGTTCCCATGTTCCAAGGAACTCTAGACTCTGGGCCTCATGTCAGACCCATGGGCTGGGTCCCCTTAGAGCTGTCCTGCTTCCCCCTCCCCCTCAGTGACCTGTCTTCTTTTTCTCTGCAGGGGAGCTACCTGGCCCACACCCAAGGGAAGAAGCATCAGACTAACTTGTGAGCCCTCACTTTGTGGCTGGGTGGAGAGGAGGGAAAGGCCCTGTGTTTACTCTGCCTGTGTTCCAGACTGGCAGTCCTGCTGCAGAGCTGACTGCTAAGGAACAAGGACAGTGGGGTGATTGGTGCCCACCTGCTCTGTCCCTGCTTGGGAGACTCCAGGGCTGAGCCCTCATCCTGTCCATGAGCTCCAAGGCCAGGGGGCTCTGGCGCCTGTGTGCTTGGCCTTGGCAGCTGGTGGAGGGGCCATGCACCCATGTTTTGTGTTTGTAGGGCCCGGCGAGCTGCCAAAGAGGCCAAGGAAGCCCCTGCCCAGCCAGCACCTGAGAAGGTCAAGGTGGAGGTGAAAAAGTTTGTGAAGATTGGCCGCCCTGGCTACAAAGGTGTGTGTGTGTTATGTGTGTGTGTGTGTTGGCCAGCCTACAGTTGTGGGCTGTGACATGAATGAGCCCTGTGGGCCCTGGCACAGGATACACCCATCCCTAGGACACACAGCCACTGCTTCCTCTGTCGTCATAGCGATAAGCACCCATCAACCACTAGAAACTTCCAGAAGGACGGGGAGGCAGGTTGTCTGCAGTCAGCACTCCCAGAGCCCCTCAGCAGAGGCCCCCCGAGTGACCTGGCCTGATCAGAAAGCCAGTCGTGTAGCCAGCAGGAACCCAGGGAGGCTGCAGAGGGCTGTCCACACCGTCCTGACCATGCAGTGCTGAGTTGGGTTCTCTTGCTCAGATCCTAGCCAGGTGAGCACCTATGACACATAACAGCCCTGTCCCCTGTGTATTACAGTGACCAAGCAGAGGGACACAGAGATGGGCCAGCAGAGCCTGCTGTTTCAGGTGAGGTGGGGCCAGTCAGGGTGGAGCAGACATGTGGGTGTGGTGCTGATGCTGCTGTGCACGTCCACAGATTGACTACCCTGAGATTGCCGAGGGCATCATGCCACGCCACCGCTTCATGTCTGCCTACGAGCAGAGGATTGAGCCCCCAGACCGCCGCTGGCAGTACCTGCTCATGGCTGCTGAGCCCTATGAGACCATTGCCTTCAAGGTAGTGACACTGAGGACAGGAGAGGGGGCAGCCAGGATTAGCCTGTCTGTCTGTCGGTCCCGGTCTCCACCCTGGGTGCTGCAGCTTGTGCTTTCCTCTCCCAGGTGCCAAGCCGGGAGATCGACAAGGCAGAGGGAAAGTTCTGGACCCACTGGAACCGAGAGACCAAGCAGGTGAGGTTCTGCAGCCCTTGCATGGTACTCCTCCCTCCTACCCTCCTCCCCTGTAGTCACTGACCCTCCTCCCCTACAGTTTTTTCTTCAGTTCCACTTTAAGATGGAGAAGCCTCCTGCCCCACCCAGCCTCCCTGCTGGACCCCCAGGTGTCAAGCGGCCCCCTCCCCCACTCATGAATGGCCTGCCTCCTCGCCCACCACTGCCAGATGCCTTGCCCCCACCTCCGCCTGGTGGCCTGCCTCTGCCCCCTATGCCTCCCACCGGGCCTGCTCCCTCTGGGCCCCCTGGACCTCCCCAGATGCCTCCACCAGCTCCTGGGGTCCATCCCCCAGCCCCAGTGGTCCACCCACCAACATCTGGAGTCCATCCCCCAGCTCCTGGGGTCCATCCCCCAGCACCAGTGGTCCACCCACCAACATCTGGGGTCCATCCCCCAGCTCCAGGTGTGCTCCCAGCAGCCCCTGGAGTGCACCCAGCAGCCCCTGGAGTGCACCCACCAGCTCCTGGGGTCCACCCAGCAGCCCCTGGAGTGCACCCACCAGCTCCCGGGGTCCACCCGCCAGCTCCCGGGGTCCACCCTCCCCCATCAGCTGGAGTTCATCCTCAGGCTCCAGGAGTACACCCACCTGCTCCTGCAGTTCACCCTCAGGCCCCTGGGGTACACCCCCCAGCTCCTGGCATCCACCCTCAGGCACCTGGGGTACACCCCCAGCCTCCTCCTGGAGTCCACCCTGCTGCGCCTGTAGTCCACCCTCAGCCTCCAGGGGTTCACCCCTCAAATCCTGGGGTGCACCCAGCTCCTATGCCCCCCATGCTAAGGCCCCCACTCCCCTCAGACGGCCCTGGGAACATGCCTCCCCCTCCCCCAGGCAACTGAGTCATGGCCCCAGCACCCCCTGCTGCCTGTGCGCAGCCTTTTCCCGGGGCCAGTCCTTGGAAAGTTTTCTATTTTGTCCTGTTCTGAGTCCATTAAACAGCCTCCCCCATGTCTCCCTGTCTGCAGTGTGGTTCTTATGTTGGGGGGGGGGTGGAGTGGAGGGGATAAGCAGGTACTGCATGCCTTATTGAAGGCATGGTGACCCAGGGTTCTGTGAGTCCTCCAGGTGGGCTCCCTAGGCAGATAGAAGCTACCCAAGGACAGCTGTGGTTTCTGCAGTTGTGGGCCTGTCTCTGAGGACAGAAAACCCTTTGAGAAGGCCACCTCCCACCTGCTGGATATACTGGACGCCAGGCACCGTCCCCCCAAGGTCACTTCCAGAGTTGATAGGGGTGCCCCTCCCAAGCACTCTTGCTCAGCCATACATATAAGCAGGACCTTCCAGACTTTGTTGCACCGCCATGCAGGGACGACCCCTCTCTCCGCTGGCGCTACTGCTGGTGACCATGGGGGCTGTGTTACAGGCGGAGACTCTCAAAGAAGAGCTCCAAAAAGCCCCCAGCACCAGGGGCCTCATCTTCCTTGAGGATGGGGTCTGGCCTCCCAGCAATCCCCCAGAGCCCTTGTGCCTGGTGACACTGAGAGCGGAGGGGAACAGAAGCAGAATCCCGCTAAGGGTAGTAGGGAGCCTGGACAGCTATGAGCATGCCTTCCTGGAGGCTGTACAGGAGTCTCACTGGGGACCCCAAGACCTGACCACCTTTGGAGTCTGCACTCCTGATGCCCAGGCTGCCCTGCCAGTCCTGCAGCACCTTGGGGCCTGGCTGGGGGAGCCTGGGGGGCAGCAGTTGCTGGTCCTGCACCTGACTGAAGGTATGTGATGGGCGCTGTTCAGGACCCCTGTGCCTTGTGCAACCTGAGGCTCATCCCGAGGACCCGGGGGAGGCTGCGGGGAGGTCCTATTGCCTGGCTGCCAGGCACAGCCTTGATGGCAGAGCACAACACCCCAACTCCGTCCCAGGCAAAGGGTCACCGAGTCCCTTCAAGCAAGGTCCTCACTTCACAGCTGGGGTCAGGGTCCTTCAGGCCTGCATGGCCACATGCAGTTAGATTCCAGCTGAGGTACTCTGTAGGACAGGTCTTGAGGGAGGGAAACTAGTGGCTTCAGACTCAGTTGTCAACCAGTATTCGGCCCACAGTGATATGGGAGCCCACGCTCTTGCTGAAGTTCCAAGAGCCTCCACGTGGGGGCGCCATCCGCTGGGAGCAGGCCCTGCTGGTGCTGTACCCGGGGCCCGGCCCCCAGGTCACCGTCACAGGGACTGGACTGCAGGGCACACAGGTACGTGAGAGTGACATGGGGCCATCCCGCAACAGCCGTCTGGTTGGGGTGTATGAAGATCTGCCTAATAGGAGGGTTCCTGGGGTCACTAGTACACAAGGTAGTCTACTCCCGGTATGGGATGGGTGTGCCTGGTAGCCTGGCCATCCTCAGTCCAGCAGAGTCCCGATGTCTACAGAACCTCTGCCCTACACGGGACACCCGCTATTTGGTGCTGGTTGTGGATTTCCCGGCGGGGGCCTGGAGTGGCCCTGGCCTTGCCCTAACTCTTCAGCCATGCAGAGAAGGTAGGTCCAGGTCCTGGCAGAGGGGAGGGGACGGTATGAAAAGAGGCTGCCCTTTGCCCTTCCCCTCAGCTAGCCACGTGCTCACCCCCCCACCCCCCGCAGGTGCCACCCTGAGCATCGCCCAGCTGCAGGCTTTTCTGTTTGGCTCTGACTCTCGCTGTTTCACACGCATGACCCCTACCCTGCTGTTGCTGCCGCCTACCCAGTCATCCATGCAGCCAGCGCATGGCCAGCTGGACACCATGCCCTTCCCACCGCCCAGGTGTGCGCACGGCAGGGCTGGAGTTGGAACTGGGAAGATGTGGGGAGGAGGAAATGCGCCCACCACAGCCTCTTGTGCTCAAGGTTGGCTCACTGCCCTCTATTCCAGGCTGCCCCTGGAGCCAGAGGATCTGCCACACAGCGCCAACCCCTTCCTAGAGACTCTCACCCGCTTGGTGCGTACCTTGCGGGGACCCCCAACCCGAGCCTCTCACACGCGTCTGGCCCTGGACCCTGGGGCTCTGGCCAACTTCCCACAGGGCCTGGTTAACCTGTCGGACCCCGCGGCCCTGGAATGCCTGCTCGATGGGGAGGAACCCCTGCTACTGCTGCTGTCCCCCACTGCAGCCACCGTAGGGGACCCTACGCCGCTGCAGGGCCCCGCCTCTGCTCCCTGGGCAGCCGACCTGGCACGCAGGGTGGCCGTGGAGCTGCAGGCGGCGGCCTCAGAGCTGCGTGGCCTTCCCGGTCTGCCACCCGCTGCGCCCCCTCTGCTGTCGCGCCTGCTGGCGCTGTGCCCCAACGACTCCAACAGCCCTGGGGACCCGCTGCGCGCGCTGCTTCTACTAAAGGCACTGCAGGGCCTGCGTGCTGAGTGGCGAGGGAGGGAAGGGCGCGGGAGGGCAGGACGCAGCGTGGAGACCGCTGCAGAAGGGCCGTGCGGGCTGCGCGAGCTGAGCGTGGACCTGCGGGCAGAGCGCTCAGTGCTCATCCCTGAGACCTACCAGGCCAACAACTGCCAAGGCGCCTGCGCGTGGCCACAGTCCGACCGCAATCCGCACTACGGGAACCACGTGGTGCTCCTGCTGAAGATGCAGGCTCGCGGGGCTGCCCTGGGGCGCCTACCCTGCTGCGTGCCCACCGCATACGCGGGCAAGCTGCTCATCAGCCTGTCCGAGGAACGCATCAGCGCGCACCACGTGCCTAACATGGTGGCCACCGAGTGCGGCTGCCGCTGACGCCTGCTTTGTCTCCAGACAGTATACCAATAAAGATCAGCAAACACTCAGTGGGGGTGTCTGTGGGTGGAGGGACCTCCTGTCACCTCCCTTCTCAAGTGCTAGATCTGCACGCACGTACACACACCATCCAGTCCGTGAGGATGCACTCCATCTCCATCACTTTTTAAAGACAGGGTCTCTCTCTATGTAATACAGGCCATCCTGGAACTTACTATGTAGACCAGGCTGGCCCCGAACTCACAGAGAGCCGACCGACCCTACCTCCCCAGTGCTGGCATTAAATTCCCAGTCCATGTCACTTTTTAAATTAGTTAACTAATTTGTATGTGTGGAGGGGAGGGTTGAGGCAGGAGAATTGCTTTGAGTCATCCTGAACTACAGAGTAAAACCTTGTTACAAAGTCCAAAAAAGGGGAGCGAGACAAACAGCTCAGCCATAAAGGGCGCTTGCACATCCCAACCCCCCCCCCCACCCCAGGCTCAAACCTGAAAAAGAAAATGCTGCGGCGCAGGTGTGTCTGGAGGTGGAGACAGGAGGGTCAGAACTGCAAGCCAGGCTGCACGGCTTATGCAGTCGTCACACAGCACGCTTATGGAGGTCAGGATAATGAAGGGGAGTGTGTCCCAGGATAAAGGCTCAGCGGCAAGCACCTTTACCCACTTCGCCATCTCGTCGACCCTTGGGGTCCAGGCACAAAGAAGCAGAAAACGTGGCTGTCGCAGCACGAGCTTTATTTACTGGTGCTGCAGGGAGAAGGGATACGGGGTTCACCAAGGAGGACAGGGGCAGGATCAATCGCGCCCCTTTCCCCCACGGGGCTTCTGTCTGGGTCGGTCGTCACGGTCGTGGCGTCGCCGGGGAGCCCAGGCCTGCCGCTTCTCATGCTCGAGTTCCCTGGAGGACCGCGTCCATGGCCGATGGCCTCCTTCGTTCACCTCCCAGCGCCGGGACAGGGATTGGCGGGGCTCCCTGGTGACCCACGGCCTCTCCTCCTTCCTGGGCTTCTCCCTCCTCAGCTTCTCCTTCTTCAGCTTCTCTCCTTTCTTTGACTTCTCCCTCGGCCTCTCCTGGGACCCTCGGCCACCAAGGGGTGCGCACTCCTCTCCAGAGACCTCTGTGGTGGACCCGCCAGGCTCCCCCTGGGTTTCTGCTTCTGCAGCCTCAGGCTTTCCCTGCTTCTGTACCTGGGGTCCGGGGGGCTCAGGAGGCCCGGATGGGGGCACCAAGAGCGGGGGCTTAGGCTGCAGAAAGACAATGTGGGATCTTGGGGTCCGCACCCATCTCCCCACAGGCCAGACCTCCTTTTTCCTGGGAAGCAGCCCCATCAGGTGAAGGCCCAGGAAGAAAGCTTACCGCGAGAGCCTCTGGTTTCTTGGGTGGAGGACTGGGCGGGACCCACTGCTGAGGGACTTCCACCGCCATGTCCCCAGCCACCGCGTCTGAAAGTCAGTCGGTCTGGGTTGGAGGACAGAGCGCACCCTCCTCATCCTCCCACTCAGCCCCAGAACAACCCACTTCAGCAGTCTACCTCACGCTCCTGCTGCTGGGATACCCCCTCCTCCTAGAGACCCCCCCTTTTCTCTTGTCTTCTCTTCTCTTCTCTCCTCTCTCCTCTCTTCTCCTCTCCTGTCTCTCTCTCCCCTCTCTCTTCTCTCTCCCTCTCTTCTCTTCTCTCCTCCTTTCCCCTCCCCTCCCCCTCTCTCTGCATGGGGGCATCTAGCTTGGGGTGGATTATGTAGGTCCCTTCTCTACTGAAGGAGTGGGAACCAGGTTCAGTCTCACATGCCCGTCATCCTGGCTGGAGGATGCTGAGACAGGAAGATTGCCATGAGACCCAGGCTAATCTGTGTTATATAAAATGAGCCCTTAACTCAAAAGCAAACAAAAAGCCTGGGTTCAGCTCTTGGGAGTTCAAAGCAGGGGGATCAGAGGCCATCCTGGACTATATGAAACTTTGTCTCAAAAAAAAAAAAAAAAAAAGTCTGGGCCTGGTGACTCACACCTTTAATTCCAGCACGTGGGAGGGACCCAGAGACAGGCGAATTTTTCGGAGTCTACAGAGGCCAGCCAGGGGTACACAGTGAGACTCTGGCTCAAAATGAATGAATGAATGAATGAATGCCAGTTGAGCCAAGAGCACCCCAAAGGCGGGCTTGGAAGCCTAAGTGTGACCATGCGGCTCACAGGCTATTTCTGGAGTAGGGAGAGACTGGAGCACAATGTAGGAACAGTGGAGTCACTGCCCGCGCAGGGCTGCAGGGAATTGCAGAGAATGCACCCCATCCCTTTGGAGAGGACTCTCACTGTCCCTACCCCTGCAGCAGGTCAATCCCTCCTCTGCAACGCTCACCCTGACAGAGCTGGACAGCCGAGCCCAGCAGTGCCACCAGTGAGGCCAGCACCAGGCACTTGTTGAGCGTCAGGTCTCCCCAAGGCAGGTCGTCCCTGGGCGGTGGCGGTGGGGGCTTCAGGGGAGGCGCAGCCTGCAACTTTCTGCGTGCGAGAACGCTCCGGGGGCCTGCAGCGACAAGCGTTTGGTCTCCTGTGGCTCCTGCCCCCCCCCCATCCCGCCCTCTCGCCCTCCCCGCGCAAACCCACTTGTCCCAGCTTTAGGAATCCCTTTGCCAGTTCCCAGACCCTCCTGGGCCACGAGCTCTTTCTCCGCAGTGCCGGCAGTCACTGGGTCCTGGAGGACCTGTAGGGCGTCAGAGACACGCGGGATATCAGTCCACATTTTCCGGGGAGGAGGCGGATTGTAGTGACTCATTCTGTAATCTCAACACCCAGGAGGTCGAGACATAAGGAGGGTCTGCAGTTGGATGCCGACCTGGGTCGCGTAGTAAGACTGTCTAAAACTCAAAAGTAGGGCCCAGGCAAGCAGCTCACTGGGTGCTGCTCCTGCCTCCAAACCTGACAGCCTGCCTTTGATCCTGGGACACCTCCCCCGCCCCAGTAAAGGTAAAGGTGAAAACAGATTCAGGGAAGATGACCTCTGATCCCTTGCTGTACATGTTCACATACACATATAAATAATTATATATGTGTGTGTGTATGCATATATAGACATGCAGATAAGTACAGATATATACATGTATATATACAAATATATACAAACACACACACATATATATACATATACATTAGAAGTTGGAGAGATGGCTCAGTGGCTACAGTACAGGCAGCTCTCACAGAGAAACCAGCACCCACAGGGCAGCTCACAACCATCTGTAACTCCAGTTCCAGGGGATCCAATGCCCCCTTCTGGTTTCTGAGTTCATCAGATACCCATGTATGCAGGCAAAACGCATAAAAAAAATAAAAATTAAATACAAAAAGAAAAAGAAAGAAGGAAGGGAGGCAGGGAGAAAAGAAGGGAGGGAGGGAGGGAGGGAGAGGAGAGAGAGCTGGAGAAGAACGGGAGACCACCATTCCTTTAGCTGGCTGTCCCGATCGCGGGGCCAGCTACTCACGGGTGTCCAGCGACTAGAGTCGGCCAGCCTGGATGCCCCTGTTGTTGAAACAGATGAAGAATCGAAACAGCAGGGTATTTGCCACCCTGACCAACTCCATCCCACCCCACACCCCCACATCCCCACACCCCCAAACCGAAAGGCAATTTGCAGCTTCCTATGCAAATGACAAGGGACATGGGGCTCAGAGATACGCAGCAGTGTCTCCTAGTAGCTTCCAACCCAGAACCGAGGAACCAACCCCTAAAGCCGCTTGCCTTGGCCCAGGCTGGGAGATTAAGTGTTGGTCTCCAAAGCGGAGCCACCAGGCTCTTGCATCAATTGCGGTACCTTGTGCCTTGCCGTCTGACCGTCGGCCTGAGCTTGGCTGCTCCAGTAACAAGAAGTCATCGCTGGGGAGGCAGCTGCCCAGGCCCCCATCCAGATCCTCCAAGCCTCTGGCTGTCATGAAGACTGCAGGATGGGCAGGGAGTCAGGGCATGGTCTTACCTAATCTTCGCCTCCACTGGAGGAATTCATGCTCCTTTCTTTTTTTTTTTTTTTTTTTTTTGAGACAAGGTTTCTCTGTGTAGCCCTGGCTGTCCTGGAATTCGCTCTGTAGACCAAGCTGATCTCAAACTCACAGAGATCCACCTGCCTCTGCCTCCCGAGTGCTAGGATTAAAGGTGTAAGCCACATGCTGGGCAGAAATTCATACTCTTGCATGACTTCAGCATTTCCTTGGGACCCCTTCCCCATAGCCCAACCATGGGAAGACACCCAGACTCTATCAGTACAGCAAGGAACAAAACCAAGGCCCCGAGAGGCCCAGAGCTCACCCAGGGCTACACAGGAATGAACCCAAGGCCCATGCTGGAGCCCTGCTCTGCAGAGCCAGCTCAAATTCTCTGAGGCCATAGACTATTTTTATCGGGTGTTTCACGCCAGCAGGAGAGGTCAGTCTGGCAGCCCAACCCCTCCCCAGACTCTTGCTCCCAGTCTAACAGAGTAGGCATCCTAGCGCTGAACCCCCTAGCTGACCCAGGATTCAGGGGGCTGAAGCCTCAACAGCCCGCCTAGTCTAGCCCTCAGTGTGACAGAGGAGGCGGGGGCAGACGGGATCGTGAGGGGTTTCCAGTCACGGCACCAGCCTTCTTGCCCCTGTTTTTATAGGGCACACAGAGAAACTGGGACCAGGGGCTCTGCTGAGCTGGATGCCAGACACAGGTTTAGTTTATGGGGAGGAGGGGGGCAATCCATGGCCACTGGCTGCCCCCTGTATCTCCACTCCCCGACAGAAATACTTTAAGAACAGGGAGGGTATGAGCCAGCAAGATGGCTCAACAGGTACAAGAGCTTGCAGCCAAACCTGATGATTTGAATTCAATCCTCCAATCACCTCCCTTTGTGGGGGGTGTGGTTTCGAGTTTCCCTGTGTAGCGCTGGCTGTCCTGGATCTCACGCTCTAGACCAGGCTGGTCTCGAACTCACAGAGATCCGCCTGCCTCTGCCTCCCGAGTGCTGGGATTAAAGGCTAGCCGCTGCCCGGGCACTTCAGATAGAAGGCAAGGCTGGAGTCCTCGGGTTGTCTTCTGTTGACCACGCGTGCCCCTCAGCACATACCTTCACTTGTCCACTTACAAAAACTAAAAATTTTAAAATATCATTTAAAAATGAAATATAAGTAAAACCATAGAAGTTTCCCCTCTTGGGGGAGGGGACCAAAACACAGGTGAGGCAGGGAATTTGGCCCCTCCCTGTATGGGGGTGGTCATCGGAATAGGGGACCCTAGTGGACCTCAGGGATCTCTTACCAAGCTCTAGGAAGCACAGCTCTATCCAGGTTCCCCGCAGCCCCTCTCCTCTTACCCTACAGTCTCCGAGCTGGGCCTGACAAACAAGTAAGCACAAGGACCTGTGGTCTGTGATGGACAGCAACAGATGGCCAGAGACAGCTGCTGGGGACCAATTGGAGAGTGCCAGGGACCCAGGAGGAGGGCTTTTCACGGGGTCACTGGGAGGGTGGCCGCCACCCACAGCCGCCTCCTGCAATGAACCAGGGGACCTTGTTTGCTGCTCTAGTGTCCGAGGTCGCAGCCCCAGTGGCCGCATCTGTGACTTTGAGGCTTCTGACACGTGGCCGGCTTACCCCTGCCCTGAGTTCTAGGTTGACTCAACTATTTTCCAGTGGCTCCCGGTTTCTTTTTAGACAGTTCAACTTAATTTATTTATTTTTGTGGTAATGAGGACTGAATCCAGGACCTCAGTCTCTAACTGGGGAACTCTGGGCGGGGCTTCACCCTGACCACGCCCCCAGCCCCTCACTGGGGGATTCTAGGCGGGGCTCTACACTGACCACGCCCCCAGCCCCTCACTGGAGGATTCAGGGAGGCTCCACACTGACCACGCCCCCAGCCCCTCACTGGAGGATTCAGGGAGGCTCCACATTGACCACGCCCCCAGCTCCTCACTGGGGATTCTAGGTAGATATTGTGGGTACAGTGACAGAAAATGTCATCACTAATACAGCAGGGAATGAGGGACTGGAGTCAGGGCTACGCCTCCTGGGCTGAAATCATCCTACAGTGACTGGTAAACAGGCTTCTGTGAGGAATCCTAATTCTGGAACAACCCGGTCCAGAGCCTGGGTTTCCTCCTGTGCAAAGTGAGATTTCTTCCTAGGTGGTACTGAGATAGAAACTGGATCACTTCCTTAGGGACCGATTTCCTCCAGCGGAAATAGTACCACCTGCTGGGGGACCTGCATTTCTGCATCGCAATGCCTCATGGGACTGAGGATCAGATTGGTGACACATTTTATCCATGACTTTATTTTTTTTTAAATATTTATTTATTTGTTATGTATACAATATTCTGTCTGTGTATATGTCTGCAGGCCACAAGAGGGCACCAGACCTCATTACAGATGGTTGTGAGCCACCATGTGGTTGCCAGGGATTGAACTCAGGACCTCTGGAAGAGCAGGCAATGCTCTTAACCTCTGAGCCATCTCTCCAGCCCTATCCATGACTTTATTATCTGCCTATGTAGTCACTTAGTCAGTCAACAAACACAGCGCAGCGTACCCCAGCAATATGGAAATTACTGTTACCGTTATCAATACTATAGTTGTTACTTTTTTTTACAAATATTTATTTTGTGTAGGTGTGTGTGTAGGCAGGCACCCTCACTATGGAGCTTGCAGGGTCTGTTCCCTGGTTCTGGCCTCCCACCACGTGGACTGAACTCAGGTCATCAGGCGTCCCTGGGTAAAGACGCTAGATGACAGGTGCAGTTCGTAATCCTGGATGACCTGGAACCAGGCTGACTTTGAACCTGACACTTTTGCCTCTCCAGTTACATAGCCGCCAGCTTTTGTTTTGGGACAGGGTGTAAAGTGAAAGGCTGGAAAAGATTCCACTTCTGTGCTGGGCCCCCAGGATAAGCTAAGGCCATAAGACCCCTCTTTAGGGGAAGTATTAGCTAACAGAGAACAGAGAAACAAAGTAGCTGGCTGCAGCCCATTGCCCCACCCTACTTCCCCCATCAGCTGGGCAATATGTCAAGCAGCCCCTGCGGTTAGCACAGGGTCCGCAGATGTGTGAGGACGTAACGGGGTGCTGTGCTAGCCCCCTTAGATACTAACAGCCTACCAGGAACCAGCAGCTGAGCTCTCCCTCACCGTTAGCCAATTGTGATACAGGATAAGGAATTTTGTATTTTGAGACCGTAATTTTGTGAGTGCCTTGTGGTTTTTGTCTTTATGAACCCCTTACAAGGGGCTGGAGAGATGGCTCAGGGGTTAGGAGCACTGACTGCTCTTCCAGAGGTCCTGAGTTCAATTCCCAGCAACCACACTGTGGCTCACAACCATCTGATCTGGTGCCCTCTTCTGACCTGCATACATAATAAACTAATAAATAATAAATAAAAGTAAATAAAAAAAGCTTGGAGCCGGGCAGTGGTAGTGCACACCTTTAATTTCAGCACTTGGGAGGCAGAGGCTGGCGAAATCTTTGTGAGTTCAAGGCCAGCCTGGTCTACAGAACATGTACCAGGACACATTTCAAAACTACACAGAGAAATCCTGTCTTAAAAAACAAAGGCATAAACAAACAAAAAAATCCAAAAAACTCAGGAGTTAAATATTTGAGCAAAAACCTGTTTTTGCTTTTGTTTTTGTTTTTGGCCTTGTTTTGTTTTTTTGACACAGGGTTTCTCTGTGGCTTTGGAGGTTGTCCTGGAACTATCTCCTGTAGACCATGCTGACTTCGAACTCCTAGAGATCCGCCTGCCTCTGCCTTCTGAGTGCTGGGATTAAAGGCATGCACCACCACCACCCAGCAAAAAACAAAACAAAACAAAACAAAAAAACCTGCTTTTCCTCCTCTCTCTCCTTCCCCAATCCAAAAGGGTCTGCAAAACTCTCTAAGGCCCTCGCTACTGCTTCCTGCATCTCTCTATATATATCCTGGGTCGTCCAAAACCTCTATTGATGTGTGAAGTCCTCCTGTATATGTGCTGCTTTTATTAGTTAATGAATAAAGAATCTGTCTTGGTCCTGGCAGGGCAGAACAGATCTAGGCAGGGAAAACTAAACTGAATGCTGGGAGAAAGAAGGCAGAGTCAGGGAGATGCCAGGTAGCCACCACCAGGAACAGACATGCCAGAACCTTGCCAGTAAGCCACAGCCATGTGGCGATACACAGATTAATAGAAATGAGTTAAATTAAGATTTAAGAGTTAGCCAATAAGAAGCTAGAGCTAATCGGCCAAGCAGTGATTTAAATAATATAGTTTCTGTGTGGTTATTTTGGGCTAAGCAGCTGGGAACAAGCGAGCAACTACTAGAACACTCTATGACTAATTCTGGTCAGCTTGTTGCTATCTCTGCCCTCTTGATTCAAGGTAAACTTTATTAACAATCTCAGGGTGGGACTGGAGAGAAGGCTCAACAGTTAAGAGAAGTGGCTACTCTTCCAGAGCACCCAAGTTCAATTCCCAGCACCCACATGGTGACTCACACCGGTCTGTAGCTCCAGTTCTGGGGAATCTGACACCTTCACACCAGTGCACATAAAAGTTAAACAAATTATAAAAAATCCTCGGTGGGCCAGGCGGCGGTGGCGCACGCCTTTAGTCCTAGCACTCGGGAGGCAGAGGCAGGCGGATCTCTGTGAGTTCGAGAAGAGCCTGGTCTACAAGACCTAGTGCCAGGACAGGCTCCAAAGCTACAGAGAAACCCTGTCTCGAAAAACTAAATAAATAAATAAATAAAATCCTTGGTGGGGCTGGAGAAATGGCTCAGTGGTTAAGAGCATTGCCTGCTCTTCCAAAGGTCTTGAGTTCAATTCCCAGCAACCACATATTGGCTACATAATAAATAAATAAATATTAAAAAAATAAAAAATAAATAAAATATCCTCGGAGTATCAGTGTGAACAAATGTGCCACAACATTCCTCTCTTT